ATTGTTTTCAAGGTTTCTCACGAAACCTGCTGAGAACATGTCTGGGTCTTTCACGGCAAAATCAAAACAAAACATATTACATTATATTTCAGACTGTTTTAGGAACATTGAAATGTATTTCCTTCGTGCAACATTTTTAAAAAATATTTTTTAAATTACACACTGTGTATTTTTTATTCATTTTAATTTAAAATATACTTGAATGCCTTCAATTTAATTAAAAAATAACTGGATGCATTTAATTCATTGCATACATATAATGTAAATTAGATTGCAGTTAAACTTTTGTCTGGTTTGTTGAGACAGATAATGAGCTTGATTCATTATGATCATTTCCACCCTTACTCCATTCGATCACATGAGGGGTTTGCTTGTACTCCGTGCTTAATGACATTCAGTCATGAGCCGTGCTGCTTCCTCTAAAAACATCCCAGACTGAAAACCTGAATGTTGTGTCGCTCCGCAAATGAGTTTGTTTGTGTAGCACAGGTCTGAAATAAAGAGTCTGCCCTCTGTATGATTACTCATGGGTTTAATGGGAGACATGGTGTAATCATCTGATGAAAACACCATTGTGCTCGACAGCTCTCAGCTCTCAGCTCTCATGCGTTTCAGTGTCGTGTGCATGGAGCGCTGGAGATCCGCGGCCTTCAATATTAAAGAAACTATTCAACACATCTCGGGCATTCAGTGAATTTCAATGCAATTCATTCAGCTGTTGGGTCATCAGGAACACAAAGTGGAAAAGTATTAAGAGAAGACCTGCCTTGCAAACTCACATCCTGCCTGATATCAAAAAACAAGGCCTCGTGGGAGCTCTTGATCGGTCAAGGCTGCTGCTGCTGCTGCTGCTGCTGCTGGGAAATCAAGTGAAACTAGATAAAGTTAAGCAGAACTTCTCTTTACATGCATTGTACATTACAAGCATGTTGAGTACTCTTCTTTTACCCTAAAGATGACAGCAAACATGCCTGGACTCGAGACTGCTGGTATCATCATCGCTTTGAGGAAGTGTTTACATTTTTAGAGATTGTTTTTCTTCTTAAAATCGTCCATCCTGGTTTGATGCTGGTGATGACAGACGGCTCTCAGGTCTCTGCAATATCTTACTTCTAACATTAGGTGGCACTGTTGCGTACAAAAAAATGCAACCTGTAAGTTACAAGTCTGTGTTTGTTATTTTATCCTACAGGCTATTAAATTCATAATACTGAGCTCTACAGTGACCTGTATTAACTCTATAACAATGTCTAAAAATCTCCTCATAAAGACATGGTTTCTTCACAAGGACTTGAATAATGAAATTGATTTGTCTTCAGTTTCTGTGTAAACCAGCTATTGGAGACTTTCTCAAGTCACTTTGTGCAGTGGCTGCTAAATTAATATGCATAAATATAAACATAAAAAAGCCAGAGTTAATTCGTTGGGTGGATGCTAAAGCACCAATGAAATACTCTCATGCAACTTGTTTCATGTATTTTAATGTTCTGAAGGCATAAGCTTTGGTAAGAAAAACTGACATTTTTAGTATTTAGTGAAAATTCTGACCTTGCCCAGAAACGCACATAAGCACTTAAGATAGAAGGTGCTATGTAGGATTAGATTCAGCAGATGACTCTTTGCTATGTAAAGATATAGTGTAGTAATGACATCCTCAGCTGAGAGTGAAGTCACAAAGCTCCTGTGTGTGTCAAGCTTTTCTGTTCAGCCGGGTGTTTGTTATTGTAAGTGAGACCCTTCCTTTGAAACTAAGAAAGAGCTCCCCTGTAGCACACGTACAGCACGGACACGTCTTTTTGATCTCTGCATTTACATCTGCAAGTTATCATCCTATTTAGAGAAGAACGCGTTTGAAATACAGTGAAAGCACCTATTGACACACGCCTGATGTTCATGTCTTTTGTAAACCAGGGCTATTCTGTTGCACAGAGCGGCTCCTTCTTTTCCCCTTTACACTGCAGGGCGTCTTGATTCACTTTACATGATCTGGGAGAGTCTCTCACTTACATTATGGCACTAGAGCCACTACAAAAAAATATTTCAAAACAAAATAAGAAACTCAGTGGCCTTTTTTTCTTCTTGTAAATCAGGGCTATTTCTGTCAGGCAGAGCACTGTACTTTCAGTTTCACTTTTCACTGCGATAATCTCTCCTTTGACTTTAGCAGACAGACAACAGCATCGAAGGTTATTAGTTGATCATGAAGAAAATACATAACCAGTTGTTACTCGTGCTGTGTAGCTCATATCCAGGTGTGACGATGACATTTTCTTGCTGATCATTTCCTGAGAAAACTTTCTTTGACAGAATACAGAGAGCGGAAGAATAAAAAGTAACTAGAAATTCAAATGAACGACAAAATTGATGAATAAATGGCTTTTAGTTAAAAATATATTCTAATATAATCAATATAATTCTGTTGATAGCACAGGTGTAAAGTATTTGATTAAATGTAATTGAGTATCTTTTTAGATACTCCGTTGTTGTACTGAGTATCAAAGATATTAGCAACTTTTACTCTTTACTTCACTACATTTTTGAATAATTTTCTCAACTCTCTACTCCACTACATTTGTAATGAGTGTTGCTATTACACGTTACATTTTGCATGGCATCTAACTTTTTCTGCAGCAGTTTATTTCTGCTACAAAAGAAGTGATATCGCCAACTAAAGGAAACTGAAAGTACACTGTAAATTGCCGTGAATTTAACAGTAAAAACCTGTTAAATGGTTAACGGTAAATTCCCCTACTATATACAGTGAAAATCTGTATTGGACATTACATGAATTGGACATTAATTTTACGGTAGTATACCGTTTTTGGAAGTGAAAACGACTACATAGCTTACAGTGAATAACCGTAAATTGACATTCCCTGCGTTACATTTCAAGTTAGATTTTTTGTTGTTGAAATAACTGTTTCTTCTTAGTTCTTTCGTATGAGTTTTGTACATTAGGGTTGTGTGTTATGCCTAATGTTGTTAAATTAATGTTTATTGCATTATTTCAGTTTCATGTGTGTTACCGTGATGGTGTTTAGTGTTTGTGTGAATGACACACTGTGCAGCTTCTATATACGTTATTATTTAAAAGCTGCTTGTGATGGGCTTTGGTTCATCGTGTGACTTTCTCATCACCTCCTGCTTTTGGTGGTTATCAGTGTATTATAAAAGTACAAAACAGATTTCAGTACTTCAATAGGTTGGTACATTATATCAGTTAATGAAATTATGGTATTTAACTGTAAATTTAAGTTAAAACCGTAAAACCTAAAACGTTGCTACCGTATTTTGTACGGTAAATTTCCGGCAACCACAGCTGCCAATTGTTTACCGTAAATTTTACAGATTTTTTTTACAGTGTACACTGTAAAAAATGACAGTGAATTTAACGGTAAAAGACTGTAAATATGATACAGTAAAAACCTGTTAAATGGTTAACGGTAAATTCCCCTGCTATATACATTGAAAAACTGTATTGGGCATTACATGTATTGGACATACATTTTACAGTAGTATACCGTTTTTGGAAGTGAAAAAGATAGTGACAGATGTGAAGAATAAATTGACATTCCCAGAATTCCCTGAGTTACATTTCAAATTTGATGTTTTTTGTTGAAATAACTGTTTCTTCTTAGTTTTTTTCTGACCAGTTTTGTATATTAGGGTTGTTTGTTACACCTAATGTTGTTAAATTAATGTTTATTGCATTATTTCAGTTTCCTGTGTGTTACCATGATGGTATTTAGTGTTTTTTTTTTATTTGGCAACATTATTTTTTCACTTTTCTCCTGTATTTTTCTCCTGTTATTATTGTAAAAGTTCAATAAACAAATTAAGCAAAAAGTAAAAAAAAAAAATACACAACATTATTTTATTTATCGTAATGCTGAAGAGACCTTTTTTGAAGGATTTTTTTTTTTCAGTTTTATTTTGGTTTTAGAAAATAAATATGATTGCTCTCCTCACAAATCAACTCTTTCTTGGTTTTCACGGCATGTCTGTTTGACTAGTGCGTCTTTGAGTCTATATTCAGCATGAGAAAAATACTAAAGTACTGTTAAAATCAGATACTCTAAGACTTTTACTTTATTTTTACTTAGTCGTTTTGTAATTGGTGAGTTGTAAATTGTAATGGAGTCATTTTCACTGTAAGGTATCTGTACCTTTACTCAAGTATGGTTTTCAGGTACTCCTTACACCTCTGGATATTAGTCGGGGGACGATGTGTAAAATCTTAAGAAATCCTAATTTAACTAGCTAACTTAATTAACAAATATGGTTAGAGGGACCCCTATTGGCAACTGCAAAAGGCTTGAAAATACATTAATATCTGCAGAGATAAACCAGGAGGAAAACCGCACACACTCCTGCTATAGCTCTTACAAATGTTTATTAAGCTTTAATAGATTAAATGATCAATTATAAGTGATTTAACGATACTAAAATCACAAGTTATTAATTTGGAAAAAGCTTTTAGTTGATGCTTTTTAGTTAATGCTGATGCATCGACGTTGACTTGGAATCAATTCTTACTTGTTATCTATACAGATACAACTTCAGTGTGGTTTGCTACATCCTCATATCAGCCTTTTCTGAGTGAAAGAGCAGCACTGAAACAGAAAGTGAATTTAAGTTCAGTTATTTTCCTCAGAATCAGCATGCTGATTTTTATCATTCAACCTGAGCATGTTCTTCATCAGCAAGATCTATCAGAGCCTGATGCCAGAAAAACTGCCATGTGCATTTTACAAGCTTGAGCAGATGAACTAAAGTTAGATGTTCTCTCAACAAGCAATAAAAAGATTCAGGGGTTTTGATTTTGGCATTCTTCCCTCTAAAACATTAACAGAGAGCCTTACAGGTGCCTTCTGGGTTAATAGTTCACAGCCTCATCCAAAACTCAACTCCAAACAAAAGTACTGTGACGTAATCACTCCCACCGTTTGATTTCCGTTCCTCCAGTGAGTATACAAACAGCCCTGAGATGATCTGAGAGTCTGATCTGAAGAACTCCGTCTGAACAAGCACCAGCATCACATCATCTGTGACCTCAGGTCAGTACTGACTCTCTATTATAGCTGGCTTTATCATGTCTAGTAGCATGTTTAGAATGTATAGTAACTTAATTTGTATTTACAGGTACTCAAGTTTAAGAAAACTATTCAGAGAGATTGTCTGGTAGGAAATCTTGATTTGAATGCTTAAAGGGATAGCTCACCCAAACATTAACATTCTGTAATTTTTTTTATTTTTATTAATATAGTACATTGTAGGCTACACATATGTATTTGTGCTTGTATGTGTGTGTGTTATGGATGATAGCATTCTTAATCATTAATATAATATACTGTATACTTTTATACATACATTCGCACACATAGCCTACATTGGATGAATAAAATAAAAAATATATATATTTTATGGAGTTTAATCAAATACAATGCACTTTTAAATGTTTACATTTCCATGACTTTTTAAGATTTAATTAAATTAACGTATTAAACTCCCCGATATTTCCAGGACTGCAGGAATTCGTAAGAACAAAATCGGGACAAACATGTTCTACTAGATCGAAGTAAAAATCAACTACAATAAACAAATGTGCATTCTTGCAGGACTCCCGTGACGTCATGGATTTCTTCAAAGCGGTGGGGGCGGTGGCGTCGGGCGTTGCCGAGGTAACGGGGGGCGTGGTCAGAGCCGTGGTGGACGTCCCGGTGGGGATGGTGAA